GAACTCAATAATCGACATTACTACTTCCGTCCTCATTAAATTCCCTCTTTATCCACCTCCATTTCTTCAACCCAAACCCTATTGTGTAATCACCGGGAAAGTTAACAATATTATCAATGGAGGCAAATTTTCCAACTCTGCAACTTCAGCATCATTCCCTTTCTTATGGGCCAACGATTTATCATTAACATAATCCATGTTCACCATCACAAAAACCATTATTTTCAATCATGATTTTTTCAAAACTTCCTAATTTGTCATAGGTTATTGCTTCATTATCGTCCATATATTAAGTTGCCAATCACTTGGTCTTCAAATTCATCGTAAAATCTAGGGTTTGTGTATACAGATGTTCTTTTAGGCCCTCTACCCAAAAAACTCAGATCAAGATCGAGAATAACAAACAATCATTCCAGCTCATGGCCCAATCTAGAAAAAAAATCTGAAAAGATCATAATTTACTGCGTTTCCGGTAATTTTCAAATTGGAATTCTCAAGTGGAATTCAACACTTGAATTCAATTCAATTCAAATCGTTAAAATAATTCATATTTAAATGCGAGAATCGTAATTAATTAAAGGAATTGGCATGAATTCATATGTAATGAATGCTTTACGTACCTTATCCTCCATAAATGAGGTGTTTATGGGTCGAGGAGGAAACCCAACTTCTGCTTGGATTTGAAGCTTTATGGCCAAATTAATGAAAATTTGAAAATAATAATAATACTAAAACTTTTATCAGTCCGAACGTGGATAGATAACAAAATGCCACGTGGATGTGGGACCAACAAAACACTATTTCTTTCTTTCAGATAAATACTCGCGCTAGATTTGAGATTCTGTCTTATATCATTGTTCGGTTATCTTTCCAAGTACAGCTTCCAGCTTTCACACTTTCTCCTCTGAAAAAAAAAATAATAAATAAATAATAAGTGTAAAATGTAAATATTGAAGTGAATATGGAGGAACACAATAAATGATAGAATTATAAATAAATATATTTAAAAAACGATTTGAGGAGATCAACGAGATAAAATGATTTGGCCATGTGAAAAAGACAATTATTTGGGCATATGCAAAAAAATGACAATTATTTGGGCATTAGTTTAGAAAATAAATATGGTCTACAATGAGAGTAATATTAGAAAAGGAGAACGTCAAAATTAATATGAATAGATTAGTACAGAAAAAAATAATAAGATGTGGTTTAACTAAGATTGTGGTTTTAAAGGAATGAAAAATAAGATTTATGCCTCTAACTGCATATAGTTTGTATTTTTAATTTTTTTTTTTTTTTGGTTAAATTGATTATATATAAGTGAAGGGGCAGAAAATCTTACTGGGCCGAAAGCGATACAGCTCGTCCGTTTGGGATTGGCCCAGTTCAACTCCTGAATCCGTCCACGTATATATCGGGCCCGACCTTTAAAATGGCCGGACCCAATACGAAGACCGGGCCCGTTTCCTCTCAACTTGCAGTCCAAAAAGAAATTAGGTTATCAAGCAGTGTATGATAAATAGGGAAAGAAAAGAAAGAGGAGGGAAGGTTTTTTTTGGGTGTAGGGAGAAAACTTTCCATCAATACAAAGGGATTTTCTGATCGTCTACAATAAGCTAATTCAAATGCTTGAAAACATTGGTATATATTATGAAAATATGGCAAATTTATCAAAAATTAAAAGAAAAATATTAGCATCAATATTGTATTTGGTTATTAGAACAAACAAAAGTGTAGCATGTGAAATTAATTATTTAATTTTATCATGCATGTGATCTATGAATATTTTTAAATGATTTAACGTAACAGTATTGATTTATGAGTTATAATTCTTGACAAAGAATCCACATCGTACTATTTTTAAGTAAGGACTAAGTATTTACTTTTTGAGTAAATAACACTAATCTTTTTTAAGTAAAAATACTTGCACCGAATATTTTTGATTAGTTATTTATGCATACTATACTCCTTTATTTATGCATACTATATGAGTGTTAAAATCGTGATACCCTTTAAATAATGATATGAGTCTGGAGCATTGTATTTACTAAAATTTTGAATCCTTCCCCACAGCTAGCCATTATCACTCTCCTTGAATGTCAAAATGTCAATATCTCCCATCTGCTTATAGGATAATATTTATATATCATTGTATTTACTAAAATATTATTTTATGTCGAAACAAAGGAGACAGTAAGAAATGACAATGTCATGCATCTTATGGTTGAATGGTCACCAAAAATTGGATTCATCCTACCTTCCAAAAATAAAAATAAAAAAAGAAAATGGATTTATCCTTCTCTTTTACCAAAATTTTACCTTCTTTTTTTGGTGGGGGTTGTTTGGACCGGTCAAGAATTTGCCAATTTCAGGCCCTGACGAAACTTCGCACATCAATTTACACTTTAGGAACTTCGGATATTCAACTTTTACTCGAATCTTTTTACACAGAAACTTTAACTTGGCAGGGTCACCACCAAACCCAATTGGATAAAGTGGTCTTTTACTAGTGTCCAGGGAATGACCCTATCCTATTTTGTCTTCTACATCTCAAAGTTTTTGCCAAGTACGTACGAATTTGGCAATTATTAATCGATAGCCACCAACCAAGAAAATAAAAATCAGGATCACATCACATGCAAGGAAAATAAACTAACCCATAAAAATACATTTTTTTTTTTTCTCATAAAAATAAAATTTTGAAGTGGTATACGTGCAATGTATGTAATAACGTAATTAAAGAAGTTCAAAACAAATATGTTTATGATCTTCATTTATACTTAATTGAAATGTCTAAGGATACTTTTTGTTTTGGACACGTAATATTATTTAAGGATACTTTTTGTTTTAGACACTTAATATTATTTAGTCCCACTTCAATATATCAAAGGAGTGTTTTCTCCTGGGTTCGGAAAATTGGCTTCCTCATTTGGTGCAAAAGCATTTACTAAATACTAATAACGAGTAGCATACATTTTTTAATAATAAAATTCAAAGCCAGTTGAAATTAGCTGCAAGTCCACTAAGTACAACATGTGACCAGGCTCTGAGATTTGATAAGGGGGAATATATTAATATAATTGCAGAAAGAAAAATTAAACAAAGGATGAAATGGGGAAAGAAAAAATGAAAGGAAAGTAGTGAAAAAGGTTTCAGGATAGACATTGTATGAGTCACCAAAGCTTTTCTAGCTTAGCACAATCATATAATAAAATAGCTGAAGTGATATGGAGGAACAAGGTATCCTTAATTCATCAAAAAAATATGATTTAATGGGCCGTTGTGAGCTGCAGTGGTCTCAAACAATATATATATACACACACACACACACATATATATATAATTAAGCACATTCAATGAGCCTACTCCAGCTAAATGAATGTCCTAGCAGTTCCAAATAATTTTAGATTTCATAGATGATTCAATGTGCATGTATCATTAGCCTAAGCTAGACACTCAATAAAGAGGTATATACAACAAATGGTAGGTCCCAGGTTCCAACCATACTAATCTAAACACTGGTAAATCTAGTAATAACCAAGTGGTAGTATAAAACACATGAAGAATTGACAATGAACTTGCATGTTGACTCAGCTTTCTCCAATCAAGATTTTGGGGTCAGCATAACTTAAAGAGTAACACTTCGCGCACAAAGAAAACATGAACCCCACTCTAGGCTTCTGCTGAGTCATCTTCACAATCCCAGCTCAGCCCTAACAATATGCATATATATATATATACATTTTTTAAAATTCAAACAAACACACCCACTATATCGACCCTAGCAAAAAGTATATCAACCCTAATTTACTCGCATTCGAGTCTCTCTCCCCTAGTTTGTCAAGATAATATATATATATATATATATATGGACGCTAGCAAAACTCGAACACTCAAACTCCCATTTGAGAAGAAGCTCATACCATCTGAGATAATGACCATGAGTAAACTGAAAGGAGGGATGGGTTAGGTCTCTTGCAAATTGGCATGTTGAAGGTAATGTGGTTGAGCCATTCTTCTTCTATTTCTTTTAATGAAGATGAATAATTAACTGGTTGGGTCCTCAGTACTGGTGGTCTTTGGTCCAATTTCCAGTGCAAATAGTCACAACTGTGTCAGAAGGGTACACAAACAGAGAGAAGCAAAAACATATAATAGAGTTTGTTTTATTGTAAAGTCATTTGAAGCTCTGCAAAGAACTGGCCACAACCAACAAGGTCTGAGTTAATGGTTCCTCTCCCAATGCCCTTTTCTGAGTTCTTTCTGACCAATCTTTGGCTCATGTGAGGAGAGGGGAACCCATGTTAGATTTACTAATTTAGAATTGAAAAGATTAAACTCCCCAACACACAAAACAAAAAGAAATGGACTTAGCCCAAGACAAAAAGATTAATTTATAAGCATAGAATATAACACCATTTACCCATCTGCAACTCCTTTTTAAGCACTTCTTATGTATTATTTTATGTTCAAATCCTATAGATCCAACCTATACATTAGATTCCTTCATTTGTACAGCTTGTTACAGAGAGAGAAAGAGAGGTTCTCTGGGTTTGCAGCAAAGGAGGCTCTCTCTTCATCACTCCAGGTAAAGTGAATGAATAAACACTGTTTTACTGTTTTTTGAGGAGCTTCTATTAATCTATGACACTTTTGCTTCTCTTCTAATAATCTATGATAGATCAATGAAACAATATACCTTAATTCTTTGGTGTAGCTCTGTAATCAACTTCTGATTGATGCTGCTTCTGCACATTTTTGATGCACTCTTTGACTAGTAAGAAAATGAGGTATGGTTTCTGACTTGAGGGAGGCCCACAGTGGAAGACAATGATATATCTTACAGTATATCTCATGTAATATTTCTTTCTGATCAAAAGTCTCACTCCTGCATTCCTTCTCTGGAAACTCTTCATTCATAGCCACACATTGAATTGTATCTTTCAACATAAATTAGAGCACTGAATCTAACACAGAGTTCTGTTTTTCTGAAACCACTCAGCCCAATATTGAGCCTGTGAAGACCTCTGAAATAGATGAGACATAGGGACTTCATGAACTTCACCATAAAATGAGTTCTAGTTTTTTAACCTGCTAACAAATAAATCTCTTCTTTTGCCCTCCCTGTAAAGTACTGAGATTTTACAAAAACCAAAACCAAAGCTTTTGGGGTTTTATACATTCATAGCTTGAATATGGATAAAGAACCACCACTACCTGGTCGGCTTCCTCAGGAAATCCCATTGATTGATACCAAGTCCCTCACTATCAAGATAGCAAGTGCTAGCCACAAACCGGGTAAGGAGATCCATACTACCATTGTTTCTGCAACTTCGGATTCGCGTTCACCTAATTTAAAAACCAGTTCAATTGCATCATCTCCTTATAACTCTCCGTCTCTCATCTCTCCTCCATCATCCGCATTTGTTTCTGCCCTTCAATCACCTTACATATCTCCAAGGGCCACCTTAGTCCCAAGTCCAAGTGAAAACCCCACTCCAACTCCACTCACCCATTCTTCACCTCCGGTGTCATACTGTGGTTCCCAATCCGATGACATCCCAAGTACCTCCTACACTCCCCCGCCAGAGCAATACGATTTCTCAGATGATCCAAACAACAACCCAAAGCTCAAAATCCTGACCTGCGTGCCAGTTTCTGGCCCTGATACCGCTCCTCGTATCTCATTTTCCTTTCCAGTCCCTCGAATTTCTTTTGCAAAAGGCTCTGTCTCGCCTGCTTCCAGTGCCAAACTCAGCAGCTGCGATGTGTACATTGGATTTCATGGTCAGAACCCCAATTTGGTACGTTTTTGCAAGTGGCTTAAAGCAGAGCTCGAGCTCCAAGGAATTGCTTGCTTTATTGCGGACAGGGCAAAGTACTCGGAGAATCAGAGCCACGAGATTGCTGACCGTATTATTTGCTCAGTGACGTTCGGTGTTGTGGTTGTCACCAGTTGTAGCCTCCTGAACCATCTCAGCTTGGAGGAGATCAGATTCTTTGCTCAAAAGAAGAATTTAATACCACTGTTTTTTGACACAAACGCAAGTGAGATGGTGGATATAATCAACCGCAATTCAGATGATAAAGAATGCAAAGAAGCTATTGATGGACTGATGAGGTCTCATGAATTCAAGCTGGAAACAAACAAGGATAGTTGGAGAAGCTGTGTATCAAGAGCTGCTGGGATTTTGAGGGCAAAGCTTGGAAGGAAGAGTTTTACTGGGACTGGGCTAGAACTAGAAGGATTTGAGGAGTTACCATTTCCAAGAAACAGATTTTTTGTGGGAAGAGAGAAAGAGCTGATGGAGATTGAAACTGCATTCTTCGGGTGTGGGGATCATCTTGAGCCAGAATGTTGTTTGAGGACGATTAAGGGAGGAACGCCAGGGCAATCTGAAGGTCTTGCGGATGAGGAAACTGAAGTTGATACAGGTAGAGGGAGATATATTAATTTGGAGATTGGGAAGTGCAAAGAACCAAAGTTGGAGGCTTGGGTTGAACCAGTCATTGTAAGAAGCTCATCGAAGCGGCCTAAATACAAGAAGTCAAAAAGCGGGAAAAACAAGAGCTTTGGCAGCAGTGTTTTATGTATAAATGGAAATCCGGGTGTTGGGAAGACAGAACTTGCATTGGAATTTGCTTACAGGCATTCCCAGAGATACAAGATGGTTTTGTGGGTAGGTGGTGAAGCTCGGTACCTCAGGCAAAATATATTGAACCTATCACTCAATTTAGGGTTGGATGTAACAGCGGATGCAGAGAAAGAAAGAGGAAGGTTCCGAAGCTTTGACGAGCAGGAAGCAGAAGCATTCAAGAGAGTCAAGAGGGAGTTGTCTCGAGACATGCCTTATTTACTGATTATCGATAATCTAGAGACTGAAAAGGAATGGTCGGAAGGGAAAGATCTATATGACCTAATACCAAGGAACACTGGAGAAACCCATGTAATCGTTACAACCAGACTCTCCAGAGTTATGAACTTTGATCCGATGCAGCTTCAGCCATTGCCCTTGTCTGATGCAATGATTTTGATCAGAGGAAGACGGAAGAAAGATTACCCAGCTGAGGAGGTAGAATTTCTCAGGAAATTTGAGGAGAAAATGGGCAGGTCAAGCTATGGGTTGTGGGTGATTGGTTCTCTACTTTCTGAACTTGCAATCACACCGTCTGCTCTTTTTGAAGCCGTGAACCAATTCCCATTTGAGGAAGCTTCTACTTCTTGTAGCCTAAGCATCACTGATAATCAATTCTGCAGAAGCAATCCTTTCCTAATGAAAGTCCTCACTTTTTGCACTGCCGTCTTACAGCAAACTGATGGGAGAAAGAACATCATTGCCTCAAGCATGCTTCTTGTTGGGGCTTGGTTCGCCCCAGCACCAATTTCAGCAAATTTACTAGTTGCTGCAGCAAAGAATATACCTCCCACCAGAAATCAATTCAGGAAGTGGACCAAGTGCTTGAGTCTGGTGTTCTGCTGTTGCTCTGGTTTTTGTTCAGGCACCCAAAGATGGAAGAGTGAAGAGGATTCAGCCCTTCTCTTGGTTAAACTAGGTTTGGCACGAAGAGCTAATAGGCAGCCCGGATGTTGGATCCAGTTCCACCCCATAACTCAGGTGCTTGCGAAAAGAAAAGATGGTCTGCAAGCTGCTAAGGCAATGGTTCAAGGTGTAAGGAAAACTGGAAATCCATTGGTAAATTCAGACCACCTCTGGGCTTCAGCATTCCTTGTATTCGGTTTCAAATCTGAACCCCCACTAGTCCAACTGAAAGCAACTGATATGGTTCTCTTCATTAAGAAAACTGCTCTTCCTCTAGCAATTAGAGCGTTCACAACATTCTCAAGATGCAACTCGGCCTTAGAGCTCCTGAAGGTCTGCACAAATGTGCTCGAAGAAGTAGAAAAGTCGTTTGTGTCTCAGATACAGGATTGGTGCCATGGGTCACTTTGCTGGAAGAAAAAGTTACAATCAACTCAGATGGTCGACGAGTATGTATGGCAAGAAGTAACATTGTTGAAAGCTACATTGCTGGAGACCAGAGCAAAGTTGCTGCTTAGAGGTGGGCATTTTGATAGTGGTGAACAGCTCTGCCGAACTTCAATTAGTATCAGGACAGTAATGCTGGGACATAACCATGCTCAAACACTGTCTGCTCAAGAAACATTGGCAAAGATCGTCAGGTTGAGAAGTAAGATATGATGCTCTGTTTCAAAACAAAAGTCCTATACTTTGGTAGCTCACCTTTCCTTTACACTGTAACCATGTTATTCACTAGTTAGATATAAAAGTATCAAATTGCTCCTACTCTTCCTTTCTATGAAACACTAATTTCAACTAAAACGGCACAGTATTCATATTTCTAAGAAGAGGAATCATCAATTTCCACATGCAAATATTTAATAATCACACTAGTTTCTAATGCAATTTAGGCTAATATTAGAACAAGAGCTAACAATGAAACACAACAAAGACGGTTCTTGAACAAATTAGGAGACACTTTTATATTGAAACAAGGATCAACAATGAAACAGAACAAAGACAAACAATCTCAGAAACGCAAATTAGAGCACAAACCTTTCCCATGCATCCCATGAAATTACAATGCAAGCCCCACTGAATTTATAACCCACACAATAATTACAAGATGAAAGGAAAAAAATAAAAAATAAAAAATAAAAAAATAAAATTCATCCCTTTAACATTCCTTTCACTCACACTTTTTCATCCCCAAAAACAAGCTTCAACACCATAAGTTTTTTCTCTTTCATTTGCTTGTTAGTCCTACAACAAAGTAACTATAATTTCAATATCATTACCATCAAATTTTTTTATTTTTTTAAACAAGATTTGCATTGGGTGATCAGTCTCTGAATCAATACTGATCGGAGAAATCCACTCTATGAGAATCCGTACCCGGTCGTGACCGGATCAAACCGTTGGAAACGGCGTCGTCCTCGTCAAGAAATAGTCCTTCTGGGTTTCTGAAAACCCCGTGAAGAACAGCGATCAAAAGCCCAGACCCAATTCCGACCAACAAAATGTTCACAGTTCCAGTGAACCAAACGGCCACCAACGAGCCCACAACCAGGCCTACCATCACGATCCGATCGCTCACGTGATGGCCCAACACGATCATCGGATCTTCTCGGAAGAAGTAGAGAATCAACCATAGGGCGAAGACCAAAGCGAAGATGATCAGTGCGATCGGATTTCCGATGAGGAATACGGCGGCGCAGGTGGAGATCACGATCCCGTAGTTCACACCGAAGTAGTTCGAGTTTTTTCGGAACCGGGTTCCGGCGCCGGAAATGGAGTCCGGGCGGTCGAATACACCGGAGGCAATGAATTCCGGCCAGGGGCGGCGGCGAGAGATGAAGTTGGAGAGGTTTTGGACTGATCTGGAAATGACGTCTGCACCGGAGATAGGGATGGTGGTGTAGGTGGAGGTGGTGGCGGCAACGGCGGACTTGGTGGTGGGTGGAAGCTGCATTGTGGCGTCTTTGACTGAATTGACCTCAACAACCATTCAAAGCCTCCATGTGAATCGCGTGTTGTCGGTTTTAGGGTTTGGATTAGAGAGAGTCCGGGTTCTCTGCGATCGAGTCCATGGAGTAAGGCTAAACTTAACTGTGATCTGTTGACACATCATCGTCTCTACTGGACAAGAGGCCCATTCCTGATGGACCAAATGGACTTCTAGTTGCGTTTAGATTAGTCCTGTCCAGTTGTGTCAACTCGAGCCTTATAGCATCTTGTTTATGCAATTACTGGGCCCAATGATATTGGGCCAAGCCCATTCCAACTTGGTTCAAAATGGTGTAATATTAGGTGATATGTAATCAGAATATCTTTTTAGGATAATTGGACACTTCTAAAGAAGAAAATTTAGAAAAGGAGTTAGAATGAAAAGGGTTAAGAATTTGTAGGATTAAAATTAAATGAATGGAATGCAAATTTGATAAAGAGTTAGATTTGATTTTTTTTTTTTTTTTTTTTTTTTTTGACGAAGTTAGATATGAATTAATTATGTAATTGTTACCCTTCAAAATGAATACTATTTAGGGTCATTAATACAAGAGGATGGGGAGAGAGAGAGATGGGAATATAATTAGTAGAATTGGTGCATGACAAAAATGGAGGAAAGCTAGTGGAATTTTGGGCGATAAACGTATGTCATATAAAACTAAAAAGGAAAATTTTATACAACAGAATCCGTGTTGGATGTTAAGATAGAGAATAGGAGTGACTAAAAAAAAAAAAGACAGGTTTACAAACCAAAATGTGAGGGAAATTTTATGTGCCACGTGATAAGATTAGGTGTGGCATCTAAAAAAAAAAAAAAAATCTTGCATAGAGGCACCCAAAATTAATATAAGATAAATTAAAAAGTAATTTGAAAGAGTTAAATATTAAAAGAGATATGACATAATAAAAATAATTAAAAAATAATTTATATAGCCAAATCTCATTCATATAAAATTAAAGTAAAAATATACTCCATAATGGAGACTTGGTATTAATGCAGACGGAGTTGGGCTATTCCTTGAGTTAATAATGGGTAGTTGCCGCATATGGGTATCCTTCTGGTTTTATCCGGGCTAAGGTAATGGGCCGTTTGTTTTGGTTGGGGTGCTTGTTTATGGTGCTCCTTGCTGCTCTGATTTTTTTTGGACCTATTTACTAATGCTTTTATTTTGTTACTTTCACTTTCTCGAAAAGTACATGATTTTGATTTCTTTGAGATGAAACAGAAAGTAAAATTATGTTTAGTAAACAGTAAGCTACTTTTGAAATTTGAAAGCAAAACACAGAAAGTGTGTTTAGTAAACTTCTATCTACTTTTGAAATTTGAAAGCAAAATACAGAAAGTGTGTTTAGTAAAAAAATAATAAATTTCTGTTTTTGCTTTTGGTTCTTGAATTGGGCAAATATCAAATATTAGAAAACAACATACCACGGCCATATTATGATCCAAAGAAGTCTAGGTAGAGTGCTTTGTTTTGAAAACAATGTACGCATGAACACTACAAGCCCCCAAAATGGTGATTTCCCCCAACAGGTAATTCATATGACTAAATCAAACAACTAATTTGTTAAGAGGTAAAATCAACCTGTATAAAGAGAGAAATGGTTTGAAGTGGGCAATACACTCTAATCTATAATGTAATATTGATTGAACTTTTTTTTTATTGGGGAGTTGTCTAATATATGATCCATCTCACTTTTATATGTAGGAAATTACTGACGTTTTTATGAAAAATTGCATGTTACACTATGCAGCCTACAGGAATATATACCCATTGTGGGCTTTGGCAGAATACCAAAAGCGGGTTCCATTGCAATCAAAGAGTTGTAGCTACATAACTGATGCCTAATTCATGTAATAAAGAAATATTATGTATCATTAATTGTTGTAGTAGTAGTAGTAGTGTGTGTTATTAATGTCTCCCATCTCTATTGTTTCTTCCACAGGGACAGGGTCAATACTAGTTTGTTCATGTAAATCTATTATATGTGGGGAAAGGCTCAAATGTCTTTAAGTAACGAGGCATTTCTCCTGTAATAAAGTTGAAATAAGTTTTATATCATTTGAACTATTAGTACTGTCTCTCTCTCTCTAAGCCACACCTAAGATTTGAACTACTAATACTGTCTCTCTCTCTCTCTAAGCCACACCTAAGATCATGTTAACAACAGTCATGTAAATCGATTTATGTTTTTGCTTTTGGTTCTTGAATTGGGCAAATATCAAATATCAGAAAACAACGTACCACGGCCATATTATGATCCAAAAAAGCCTGGGTAGATTATATTAGTATCATAACAAGTGAAACACAACTCTAATTTTTCGGCCCAACATACACATAATATCAAAAGTATGCAAATTATAACATGAATTCAAATGGCATTTAGATACAAAATTAATCTAAATAAAAGTGACAATATTGCAATATCCAAATAGAAAATTAATCCAAAGTGACAATATTACAATATCCAAATAGAAAATTAATCCTAACAAAAGTGACAATATTACAATATCCAAATGGAAAAACAATCCTAATAAAAGTGACAATATTATAATGAGCAAATAGAAGTGATTCATCTATCACGATAGTTGTTCCGCAACTCATTTGCAACTGCATCACGGGTTTCACTCATCTCTTGAATTAGCTCTTGTGTAACATTTACTCTCTGAGAAGTACCACCTAACTCCACTTCTTCTCCTTCTTGAAGATTGGCATTCTCATCCCCATATTCATCAAAAAGACGATCTAAATGGGCTTCGTCACGAATAAAATTATATAATGTACAACAAGCAATAACGATGAATGCTTGTACACTCAGTTTGTAAGGAGGCATCAACTTAAGGATCGATCAACGCATTTTTAATATACCAAAACAACGTTTTATCACATTTCTCAGTGACGAATGCTTATAGTTGAATAGTTCATGAGGACCCCTTATTCGTCTCCCCCTATATTCCTGTAAATGATATCTTTCGCCACGATAAGGTGTTAAAAAGTACCTTATATTGGTATACCCAAAATCCACAAGATAATACTTACCTGCACAAACAAAAAAAAATTAATTTTTTTCTAATTTAATATGATATTTTAAACATATGATATCTTAATTTAATACCTTCGAGTGGCAACAAAACATTTATTGTAGGATCAAAAATAGTTTCCAATAATACTCTTGAGTCATTTGCCGAGCCTTCCCAACCTGCCACCACATATGTAAATTTCATGTCGAAATAACAAATAGCCATTACATTTTGTGTTGTGTGTGATTTCCTTCCATGATAAGGAATTTGTGAAGATGCTAGGACATTTGCATGGATGTGTGTACCATCAATTGCACCAATGCAATTCTACAACACATTATTTTGTTAGTAAATATAAATTCACAATACCAATTAATTAAGTAAAAATATTTTTTTTTAAAAAAAACTACCTGAAAAAATGGAAAGTATTTCTCATTATATTGAATCTCCAAGGGTACCTCGTTCATATTTGGTGGACATATTATATTTTTCCCTAATTTGCAAACATACTTTAAAACTCGGTGGAAATATTTATGCACGGTCCCCGTAGAATGTTGATATCTTTATGCCACCACTCGAACACTCTCATTGTGTGCTAGAATATACAAGAACATTGTAACTTGTTCTTGTACGGTTAAGTACCTAGAATCTTCCAAGCCCAATCCATTTAACCGTTCACATAAATTTCTAAATACATGTTTATCCATCCTAAAAAGTCGATAACACCTAATGGGGTGGCCATTTACTAATTTAAGTATATAATTATGGCTCTGAAGCATATAAGTCATACATAGTCTTGGTGGAAGCATATAATGTTCCATGTACTCTATGACTATGTAAATAAACAACAAACACACCCCCATTTCCTCCTCTTCATCTTCTTCATCATCATTAATTAAAGTAGGCAAACAAAATGGATCCATAATGATAAACCTGATGCAACGAAATATGAGATGCATAAAATGATAATGCAATCAATAAAAGTTATGAAAAAAAATGACTTCATCTTCAAATGACATATATAATATCTCATATTAACACAATAAAAAGGACACAAATTAAAGCAAAAAAATGATAAACATTAGCAAAACATTGTTAAAAGGCAAGTGTACTAGTTCTAAATCACAGACATAAGTTTACTAGCTTAAACAAATCCCAAATAGAAATTACAAACAAAAAGAAAAAAGATTGTCTCAAACATACACAACAATTACAACCCATCAACACATAATGTTGCAGCCTATTAATCTAGTCCCAGTTGCAGCCTATCAATCTAGTCCCAGTTGCAGCCTTTCAAGCCATTCCCGCTTCTTCTCATCACTAAGTGTAACAAATACTCTACTCCAGAACGGATCATCACGAAATTGTTTTAGGGCCTTGAAAAATGTGTCGCCATCAATTGGTCCCATGCCTTCTAAGATTTGCAAGCATTCAGTAACTTTAGCGGAGTCTTGATCAACTTGAGACATATTCTAAGATTTATATGTACCACTCGCAAGTGCACGAATCTTTGCAGATAGGGTTTACTTGTAAGGGTGTCGTACCTAAGGGACTTGTGTAAAATAAATTTGTCAACAGATTTCTTAAATTCCAAATTAACTTGAAAGTAGGATAATTGAATTATGATGTTGAATTCTAAATTAACTAAATCGAAAAATAAATTGAATTATGATGTTGAATTCTAAATTAACTAAATCGAAAAATAAAATAAACTAAAGAACAATGATTAAATAGGATGTAGAAAATAGAGAGAGAGGATTAGGAGTATGATTTCTCTACTAACATCGCACCACCAGTCAATTGCATCAATTTATTGGAGATATATCATATAACATGCACAGGGAATTAATCATGGCTGCAAGCACATATTAATTCAGCTAGAAAATTATATAATTTAAAGCTAAGCATGGACTATCTTCAATTGGTATAAACCATCTACCTAACTACTTTACTCTTGGGTGTAGCATGGTCTATCTTTTCTAGGCATAATCCATCAAATCTCTAATATTATATTCAGATAAAAACTATTGTGTAATCATCTCATTCACAACTATAAGAAGTGAATGAGTTGTGTTTAATTATAAGATTAAAATATCTAAAACAAGATAGAAAAATATTTGAAATTGAATTAA